GAAGAGGAAGAGGAAGAGGAAGAGGAAGAGGAAGAGGAAGAGGAAGAGGAAGAGGAAGAGGAAGGTGAGGAAGATGAAGGTCAGGGAAGATGAAGGGGAGGAAGATGAAGGGGATGAAGATGAAGGTGAGGAGGATGAAGATGAAGAGGAAGAGGAAGATGAAGATGAAGATGAAGGTGAAAATGAAGGTCAGGGAAGAGGAGGATGAGGAAGATCCCAAAGGGATGAAGGCCATGGAGGAGATGGAGGAGGAGGAAGGTGAGGAAGATGAAGATGAAGATGAAGATGAAGATGAAGATGAAGATGAAGATGATGATGAAGATGAAGGTCAGGGAAGATCCCAAAGGGGTGAAGGCCACGGAGGAGGAGGAAGATGAAGGAGATGAAGATGAAGATGAAGATGAAGGTCAGGGAAGATCCCAAAGGGATGAAGGCCACAGAGGAGGAGGAGGAGGAGGAAGGTGATGAAGATGAAGATGAAGATGAAGATGAAGATGAAGATGAAGATGAAGGTGAAGGTGAGGAAGATGAAGAGGAAGAGGAAGATGAAGGGGATGAAGATGAAGGTGAGGAAGATGAAGGTGAAGGTGATGAAGATGAAGATGAAGATGATGATGAAGATGAAGATGAAGGTGAAGATGAAGGTGAGGAAGATGAAGGTGAGGAAGATGAAGATGAAGATGAAGAGGAAGGGGAGGAAGATGAAGGGGATGAAGATGAAGATGAGGAAGATGAAGGGGAGGAAGATGAAGATGAGGAAGATGAAGGGGAGGAAGATGAAGGTGAAGGTGAGGAAGATGAAGATGATGAAGATGAAGATGAAGATGAAGGTCAGGGAGGAGGAGGAGGAGGAGGAAGGTGCTGAAGATGAAGATGAAGATGAAGATAAAGATGAAGGTGAAGATGAAGATGAAGATGAAGATGAAGGTGAGGAAGATGAAGGGGATGAAGATGAAGGGGATGAAGATGAAGGGGATGAAGATGAAGGTGAGGAAGATGAAGGTGAGGAAGATGAAGGTGAGGAAGATGAAGATGAAGATGAAGATGAAGATGAAGATGAAGATGAAGGTGAAGGTGGGGAAGATGAAGAGGAAGAGGAAGATGAAGGTGAGGAAGATGAAGGTGAGGAAGATGAAGGTGAGGAAGATGAAGATGATGATGAAGATGAAGATGAAGGTGAAGATGAAGGTGAGGAAGATGAAGGTGATGAAGATGAAGGTCAGAAGGGGCTGAAGGTGATGAAGATGAAGGTCAGGGAGGAAGCTGAAGGTGACGAAGGCCCCACCTACCCCTGACTGTGACCATCAGGCTCCGACTGGGCGGTGACGTCACCCAGGCCCCGCCCACCTCCTCCTCCGCCCGGCAGCTGAAATTCCCAGAATCCTCTGGCCTCGACTCCGGGAAAAACAACTCCGAGGAATTGGAGGAATTCCCGGAAACCGGAAGTTCCTCCCCATCCCGGAAGAAGCGGAAGCGCATCCGGAATTCCCTGAAGGGGGCGGAGCAAGAGAGGAGGAGACGTTGCCCCTCCCCCACCCGGCCCGAGGGAGGCTCCGCCCACAACGAGGGGGGAGGGGCGGGGTCTGGAAAAGAGGGAAAAAACGGGATTTTAGGGATTTGGGGTTGGAATTGTTGGGATTTGGGGTTGGAATTGTTGGGATTTGGATCCATTGGGATTTGGGGTTGGATCCATTGGAATTTCGAGCCAGATCCTCCGGGATTTGGGGTTGGATCTATTGGGGATGGATCCATTGGGATCTGGGCTTGCATCCATTGGGATTTGGGGTTGGATCCTCTGGAATTCAGGGTTGGATCCTTTGGAATTTCAAGCCCGATCCTCTGGGATTTGGGGGTCGGATCCATTGGGATTTGGGGTCGGATCCGTTGGCATTTAAGGTCGGATCCATTGGGATTTAGGGTTGGATCCGTTGGGATTTGGGGTTGGATTCCTTGGGATTTGGGTCAGATTTGTTTGGATCTGGGCCCAGTTTCGTTGGAATTTGGGGTTGGATCCATTGGGATTTAGGGTCAGATCCATCAGAATTTGGGGTCGGATCCACTGGAATTTCAAGCCAGATCCTCTGGGATTTGGGGTTGGATTTGTTGGGATTTGGGGTTGGATCCATTGGGATTTGGATCCTCTTGGATTTGGGGTCGGATCCATTGGTATTTAGGGTTGGATCCATTGGGATTTAGGGTTGGATCCACTGGAATTTCGAGCCAGATCCTCTGGGATTTGGGGTCGGATCCACTGGGATTCGGATCCGTTGGGATTTGTGGTCGGATTTGTTGGGATTTGGGGTTGGATCCGTTGGGATTTGGGGTTGGATTCCTTGGGATTTGGGGTCAGATTTGTTTGGATCTGGGCCCAGCTTTGTTGGGATTTGAGGTTGGATCCGTTGGGATTTGGATCCTCTTGGATTTGGGTTCTGATCCATTGGAATTTTGAGCCAGATCCTCTGGGATTTGGGGTTGGATCCAGTGGAATTTTGAGGCAGATCCTGTGGGATTTGGGGTCGGATCCATCGGAATTCCCATCCACATCCCTTCTTTTCCCCCACCTCTGACAATCACTGCGACTTCCGGGCTCATTTCCGACGGGATCCACCTCCTTCCTCCTCCTTCCTCCTCCTCTTCCTCCTCCTCGTAGCTGCAGCTGAAGTTCCCCCCGTGGCTCCGCCCACTCTCCTCCACCTTTAGCTCCGCCCCCTCCTCTCCCGGGATCTCCCTCATCCCGGGAATCCCCCCCGGCACTTCCTGGTTATCCCGGAAGAAGCGGAAGCGGCGGCGATGGGCGGGGCCGGAAGGGGCGTGGCCGGAAGGGGCGGAGCAAAGGAGGGTGAAGGGTTGCCCGGCGACGGTGACGCCCCCTGGGGGGGTGGGGGACAGAGAAGGGGCGGGGGGAGGGGCTGAAAGGGGAGGGAGAGATCCCAAAAATCTGGGTTGGATCCTGGAATTCACCTCGGATCCCAAAATTTAACCCTCGACCAATTCCGGGCTCGGCAGATCCGGGATCTGGTGGATCCTGATCCCAGAAGATCCCAGAGGATCCCAGAGCCAGGTGATCCCAGATCCCAGACCTCCCATCCCAGTGGATCCCAGATTCAGCTGACCCCAAGATCCCAGATCCCCCAATCCCAGTTGATCTCAGATCCCCCAATCCCAGTGGATCCCAGGTCCCATCCCAGTGGATCTCAAATCCAGTCATACCCAGATTCCAGATCCCTCATCCCAGTTGATCCCAGAGATCCCCAATCCCAGTGGATCCCAGACCCCCATTCCAGTGGATCCCAGATTCCACTTCACCATCCCAGTGGATCCCAGATCCCTCACCCCAGTGGACCCCAGATCTCCCATCCCAGTGGATCCCAGATCCAGACGATCCCAGATCCCAGATCTCCCATCCCAGTGGATCCCAGACCCCACATCCCAGTTGATCCCAGATTCCAGACCCCCAATCCCAGTGGATCCCAGAACCAGACAACCCCAGATCCCAGATTTCCCATCCCAGTGGATCCCAGACTCCAGTTCACAATCCCACCGGATCCCAGACCCCATTCCAGTGGATCCCAGATTCCCCATCATGGTGGATCCCAGATCCCAGACCTCCCACCCCAGTGGATCCCTGATCCCAGACCTCCCATCCTAGTGGATCCCATAATCCGGTTCACCATCCCAGTGGATCCCAGACTCCCCATCCCAGTGGATCCCAGATTCCAGTTCACCATCCCAGGGGATCCCAGGCTCCACATCCCAGTGGATCCCAGATCTCCCATCCCAGTCGATCCCATATCCCATATCCCCGTCCCACCAGATCCCAGATTCAAGATCTCCCATCCCAGTGGATCCCAGACTCCAGATCCCCTTCTCAGTTGATACCGGATCCACTCAATCCCAGACCCACATCCCAGTGGATCCATGAGCACCCATCCCAGTGGATCCCAGATCCCCCCCAGTTGATCCCAGATTCCCCATCCCAGTGGATCCCAGATCAAGATGATCTCAGAACCCAGATCTCCCATCCAAGTGGATCCCAGATTCCAGATTCCTCATCCCAGTGGATCCCAGACCCCTCACCCCAGTGGATCCCAGATCCCTCACCCCAGTGGATCCCAGATCTTCCATCCCCGTGGATCCCAGATCCAGACAATCCCAGATTCCAGACCTCACATCCCAGTGGATCCCAGATCAAGGTGATCCCAGTGGATCCCAGATCTCAGATCTCCCATCCCAGTGGATCCCAGATTCCAGTTCACCATCCCAGTGAATCCCAGATCCCAGACCTCCCATCCCAGTGGATCCCAGATCGCCCATCCCAGTGAAACCCAGATTCCAGACCCCCAATCCCAGTGGATCCCAGATCCAGGCGACCCCATATTCCCCATCCCAGTGGACCCCAGACCCCAGATCTCCCACCCCAGTGGATCCCAGATTCCAGACCTCCCATCCCAGTGGATCCCAGACTCCCCGTCCCAGTGGATCCCAGATTCCAGTTCACCATCCCAGGGGATCCCAGATCCCTCACCCGAGTGGATCCCAGATTTCAGATCCTCATACCAGTGGATCCCAGATCCCAGATCCAGACGATCCCAGATCCCATACCCCCATCCCAGTGGATCCCAGACCCCATATCCCCCATCCCAGTGGATCCCAGATCCCAGACCTCCCATCCCAGTGGAT